CCTCAGTCGGGCCCTGTGATTAGTCTAATTTGCAGAAACGCTGGCGAGCCCGCACCTGTTGCCCCTGCAGCCTGCAGCCGCGGCCCCTCAGCCACTGACAGGCCTTCCCTTGGATAATCCAATCTCCTCTCATCGGCATGGCTGCTCTCCCAGTGCAGGACAAGGGCGATCATTTTTTCTAACACTTGTCATCCTTCGTTTTCTCATGGCCACCATGCTCCTGATGGCTCATTATTGGACCATTGATAAATACTGCCAGTTCCCACCTCGCTGTTTTGTACACCTTGCCGCTCTTTCCTCTCACCAACGCCTTGCTCTACATGCCAATAAGGTGGGTAAAGCTTTCCTTGAGGTCCCGAAAAAGGCCCAGCAGTCTTCCACATGACAGCCTTCCAGTATTCTCCATTTGGATTTGAAACGGCGCCAGGAGAAAATCAAGTGACACAGGCCACACAGAGTGGAAGGGAGGGAGGGAGGGAATGTGATCCCACTTGATTGTTGAGAGTTTATATAGCGAGTGATGACAAAGTGCTTTATGACTTTGCAGTGTTCGCTGGGCCCTGCGATTGAGGCCTTATACAGGCAAAGCCCCCTGGTGACCTTGGCTTGTCAAATGTTCTCATTTTCACCAGGAAGGAGCCAGTGCTCAGCGGCTGCTCAGAGCTGGTAAGCTGCTTTTAGAGAGACAGCCGCTGAGAGCTTTTGGAGGTGACCCAGGCTTCCTTACTTTCACAGCTGAAAACACTATTTAGGAAACGCACCAGTCACAGTTTAGACCTACACACCAAGTGAATTTTAATCCAATGAAGATTATAAAGCCATGAATATTTTTGACAAAGCAAAGAGTCTGTAGCCACGCTAGCAGCTATGAGAATCTTTACTTGAGCTAAATGCTAACGTCAGAGTGCTAACAATCTTACAATGACAATGTCACATTCTGAAGTTACATGTATGTTTACCAAGGTCACATTTGCAATTGTTGCTTATAAGCATGCTTACAAGCATGCTTACATTGTTAATTAGCACTAAACAAGAAAAACTTGAAGGAGTGATCGCCAAAGTTATTGACATTTTCCTACCATATGCCATTGTGTTCCATCTAATAGATTTCGAGATGTTTTCCTAAAAAGAGCACATATCTATCACTTGGTGGTGCATAAGGGGAAAGTTAGGATCACCAAAGGCAAACACACACATCATCTGAAAAATGTCAGCACATCTGTACCAAGTCACTTTTGTACCAATCCATTAATTAGATTACATTGAAATATTCCCCATATAAATGAATTATTTGACTTTATGTTGGGGTTCTTAAATAAGAAGTCAGGGGAATCCCTAATCCAGAATTCATCCTCTGGGCACTCGGTACAACTTCAGACTATCTTTTAAAAAGTGATAGAAATAAGACAGTCAGAAGTGGTGGAACAATCAATGGACCAACGATAACATTCCTAAAGCCAATTCTATTATATTCTTTATTTTCCAAAAAAAAAGAACATAAAAGGAAATGTTGTTGTGGGACTATAAAGATAAGAACATCTTGAAAGACGTTTATTTTTCACTGCAGACGTTGATAACATCAGACCAAACAAGGATTCCTGAGGAGTAAGAGGATATTTCCAGAGGGGTAAAGCGACCAGAGGAGTTCCACAGGGCTCGTCACAAATCAAATATGACTTCAGATTTCTCCCAGATGCATGCCACGTGCATCTTATCTCACAGGGAAGAGGAAGAACAAGTATTTGATCATTAGGCCTCCCCTTCCTGCATTGCCAATGACCTTTCCTATGCAAATCTTTACAGGATACTTCCCCTTGGAGAGAGATGTCAGGAAGCCGTGTGAGGCGGGGCTTGAAGAACTGGACCTACGCTGCTAGGTGGTGAACTGAATCGATGTGTAATGAGAAAACAAAAGCTGGACCAAGATCAACGCTCAAGGACTCAAGAAGGAGTTTTAAACAAGTAGAGCTGGTGCGTGTGTGCGTGGAGCCGGCGGAGGCACGTTAGCCCTCTGACTGGCTGCTCTGGGCTAACAACCCTTGCATTGATCCGAGGAGACACTCAGCCCTCTAACCTGCTGAGTGCTCAGTTCCAGTGAACAATGGAGTTCAGAGCGCGTCGATACACTACCCTATTGAGTGCTCTCCGTTTAGCAGCAAGATTGATGAGGTTAAGGCTCCCAACCGGGGAGCCAAATGGTGTCAAAACCAAGGTGTTGCTTTGGACAAACAATCCTTCACTGGACCACCACACTGAAAGGCGCTGGTTACTGGCTCACACTCCAGCTCTACCCAGGAAGTGTACTCACACAGGCACAGGGTTTCTGAAAGGGGTTGCAGACTGGTGGATGTTGTTAGGACTTATAAAATGCAGATGAGAATATGAGGGTAGGATAGATGTCGCTTTCTGGACAGGAATGTGCTGCAAATCCCCTAAGACACTAAATGATGTACAAGTGGATTTATTACAGTCGGTCCCTATAAATCTAAGGTTGGCCTGAACTCCAGGGAGAGGTTAATGGATTACAAAGGGATGTGGTATCGAACCTCAGAGAAGTTTATACACCTCATCAATATGTGAAACGCTATTGATCATTTAGACCCTGATAAATTAAATTCATACACGTGATAATGCATAGCAATATTCAGAATGCCCCGGATGAGGGAGAATTGGCTTTTTCAGCTCAGTTTCTATTTGTTGGATGAGGACAGTGGGATCTTGTTTCGGGAACACGGTAAACAATTGCATATTAAGAAAACTCAGGGTGGCAGTCAGTGATTTGAGCTCTGAGGACTTTGTTGGAAATATCACCTTACAGTAAAGTATACAACATCCACACTTTTTTGCTCTAATGTAAATCACAAGAACTTATTGAAGCCGAGATTCTGATTGTTACTCAATATGAAATGTGCACCAGATCCTACAACTTTAGGAATGTTGATATACATATAGTTATAAGCAACAGTTATTAATTATAAAATGTTGCAGTTATTTAAAAATAATATTTAAAGGGGACCTATCATGCAAAATGCACTTTTGTACGTCTTTTATACATGAATATGTGTCCCCAGTGTTCCAGGGAACTCACCAAGTGTCAGAAAACACAACCCTCTCTATTTTCCTCCATACCCACATCTCTAAAAAAGGGGCTGCAACGGATCTGATAAAAACTGATCCAGATTTGAACACTGTCCTGACGTCAGGACGGTGGCGCTACGGCTATTGGGCCAACTCTCCACCTATCAGGGGAATGTGGGGTTGGGCCACGGCCGGCCATTGCCGCTCGAAAGCGCTGCAGACGCTGTAGTACATATGCCAGGCCTGTAAGTGGCGCTGTAGTCTGCCACAAAAGCAGCGAAGAAGACTTCCCGCCCATAGTTACCATGGTTACCCTTCTGTTTATTCTCCGCTGTGGCTCTTTTTCTCCCTCCCCGAGGCAAGCGTTTGCTCCCGCTGCTTTAATTCAATGCAATCCCTCCCCGTCGAGGCAAGCACTGTAATTCTCTCCGGTTAGTCCACCAGCAGATGACAAAGACCCACCTCTCCGCCTCTTCCAAGGAACGAGGGGACCGTGCGGCAGAGTTTCAGTTAGGTTTTCTTTCGCCGGTCAAGATGTCCGTTAAAGTTTAAATCTTCCGGACAAAATTAGAAAATTGCCGGTCAAAGGTCTTCTTTGTTATTTATTGAGCTTTAAAACAAATGAATAACGACTCTATAGGCCTATAATAATATAATAAAACACGGACGACGGAGATCTTTTTTTCTCCCCCTCTTGACTTGATCAGAGCACGGCTCCCCTCTCCTGCAGGGGGGCGTGGTCAGCTGCAGCTCACAGAATCAGCTCCGTAGACAGCAAACAGCACATAGAGCCAAATGAGGCATGGCTAATCTGGATATCTTGAAGCTCCTCAATGTATTCATAATAGTAATAGAATAGGAAACCCTTTATGAGAAGGCTCTACTCCCACAACAGAAACCAAAAGACACAGGCGATACACCTACAAATAAACAACTCTTCACACATTTGATGTGAAACTATGTCACCTACTCATTTCCAGAAAGAAAGCAAAAAAAAGCTAAAGGTTCCCACCATGTCATGCTCTCTGAAAAGTACTGTACTATTCTCCTCTGTATCTGGTTGTACAGTACATTAGAGCTGGTTTGGAGAATGAGACGAAAAGCTAATCTCAGTAAATATAAATGAAATCATAAAGTTGACCAGAAATGATTTTAGATTTCAAAGAGTTAGTGTATTTCTCTCCACTGTTAAAATGTTACAGTGTGGAGGTAACTAAATATGTAATGCTTATACCTGGGACACACATACGATGAAACATTGTTCTACACCAGGGGTGTCAAACTCAATTTCATCACGGGCCACATTAGCATTATGGTTGCACTCAAAGGTCAAATTCTAAGAAAAAGGCATATTTTGATGAAAAAAAGTCAAATTCTGAGAAAAAGTAAAATGAGAGATGCATTGTGGGACATGTAGTTTATGGACATCGTGCTTCTGTAAATCGGCATGTAACCGTATAATAAACATTCTTTCAAACTCTTGCGGGGCCACATGAAATGAAGTCGCGGGCCGGATTTGGCCCCCGGGCCTTGAGTTTGACACCCCTGTTCTACACAATGGAAAGTCAAATGTTTCCGATTTGAGTAATACCTAACATTTTGTATTAAAGAAACTACCTCATATTGTTTCTTGTTATGAGAAAACCTTCCTGTATCTGAACACAAACTACCACATTCACACATTAAAATGATAACTGCAACCCACTTCTTGCCTTTAATGTTAATTGAATAGAAGGAAATACATAATAGGTATATTAAACTCAACTATTATTTAAAAAAAGGCACCCTGCAAGTCATGCATTTTGCAATGTATCTACTAAAATATAAACTTGTGTATTGAAGGAAAAATATAAACATGCTCATAATACTAGGTTAAGTAGTAGAGAACAGTTGATTTAAAATGAACATAACAGAGATTTTACTTGAGTTAAGCAGATTTATTTCACATATGTACACCTGTGGCTGACATCCAGACAGTGATCAGTTACAGAGAGGACCAATCACAGGTTCTACAGGGGCTAAAAGCAAACGTTACATTTCTTGATTAGGTGCTTCTTTTAGCCAACCTTATTCATCCATACATAGTCATCTCTTCTGAATTAAAATATATAGTTTACATCGTTCTGCATCGTCTCATCATTCAAGAGTTTAACAGAAACTCAAACAACATCACTTGTAGGTCAGGATGGGTGTCACACGGATACGTGCAGAGCCCCTCTACCTCTCTGTGTTCCTATAGGCCATGTGACGGATGTGGAAATGGCACCAGAGCTGATATCCCTTCTTCTCACTCAGGGACTCTTCTTGTTAGCTGGAGACAGAGTGAGTAATTCAATAAGTCAAGTATTCATTTATTACTTTCCTTTTCAATCATGGGGCAATTTTTTCTTCTAACTTCCCCCAGCCACCTCCACACTGAGAATAAAAAAAAAGTGATTCAAGTTCTGCAACTTCCATCCGTGGCAGCCCTCGTTGTCTTACTGCAGCTTAATTACAAAATATTGGCGCCGTTTTCAGTAAAGATTACTCACTGTAGGAGGCCCTCCGTAATTTGGACCGCGGGGTTTGTCACGGGAAATAATACAATGGAACTGGGCTTTCTGTATTAGATTTTCTCTTTTAGCCTCCTTGACATTTCAAGCTGCATGAACTAATACATCTGTTATTTGTTGATCATTTGATTATTAACATACTTCACAAACCAAATCAGCGGCCCTGCTGGAGACACAGACACAGCTCAGCAGACAGTCTGGGTTTTCTCTCGCCTGCCACGCGCAAACACACTCGCTTAAGATGCACAATTCAGCCCTCGGTAAAAAGGAAAGCTGGGGAAAAAAACCATTCATCTTCCCCTCCTTTGAGCGTATGAGCACTCTGACACCGGCATGGAACAAAGCCCGTCATCACATTCTAATCTCAAATTTCAGGGCTTTTATTTCACCCAAATGCCACCCTGCTGGCCTTGTAAATTATTGACAGACTGACACCAATGCGAAAGGACACATAAAAGAGGCTAAAAGCTCCGGCCCTGGAAGAGCTTGTCCTCTCCTATTGCCATCAACAGGAGAGCGACGCTGCTAATGTTCCCTGGAAGCTCACGGTAACTTTGAGGCTGAAGTGTCAACATACGACTCCTGACCTCCAGCTGCATCACACAGGAGAGATATTGGCCCCTTGGTCTGTATGAAAGCCCTAGTACAATCACAAGGAAATGATGTGAATTATCTGATCAAATGATGAAAATGTAAAAGCAGTCAGTCACACATGGTTAGTATTGCATCCAGCCTTTTAAAGTCATTCTGATTTGACTATTTCTCGACATTTCTCCTTTAAAAAAAAAAAAAAAACAGCATGGTGGGTGGCTCGGCGTGCACTCATTTAGTTTGCGTGATGAAAAGTCAACCGTGGTAAGCCGTGTGTCAACTAGAAATCCAATATTTGTCAGTTTTACGTCTCCTCGCGCCTACTCCTCATTTAGCTCAAGAATAAGATGTTACAGACACAAATAGGAGCAGACAGTTAGGATGAATAAAATACCTAAAAAACAAATAAGTGAGAGCAGAGAGGATGAGAGAGAGTGGGCAGAGATGAGAAGCGGTGTTAGGAGAGGGTTTTAGTTTTCTACTGCTATTTAATCCACCTCGCTTTCAGTGCTGGCACCCTCGGGGCGCCTCAGTTTCTCCACCTGTTCATTCATCTGTCCATCCCCACGCCGGTCCACTGAGTGCATGCTTACACCGTCGCCGTCTTTCTCTTCTTCCTCTTCCTCCTCCACGTGGCTGACCACCTGCTCCACCTGCTCCTCTTCCTCTTCCTCCTTCTCCTCCTCCTCCTCCTCCTCTTCCCCCTGCACCTCCATGCGGACCTGGTCCTTCAGGTCGAGGAACATCGTTGCAGCGGTGCCGTTGTCTCCATTGATAACGTGAACTACATCAGGCTCTCCCATTGCATCCTGGGAGCTGTGGGGTCCATCTTTGATTGGGGACGAGTTGGCGGACTCGTTACTGACGGGGGAGATGTCGCTGCTGCTGGTGGTGTGGCTGACTGGCGGAGAGCCGGGTACCGATGGAGGCTTCAGAGGAATCTGCCAGGAGGGGATTTTAGGTATAGTGGGAGTGGAAGGGAATTGTTTCCTGTGAAAAAGGCGGGAAAGAAAAGAGAAAAGCATAATCACAATCTCACTGTGATCATCAGAGCTTTCCCACAATATAATCAGGCATTCTGCAACCACAAAATACATATAGCTTTCAAAGGCAACAAAGTGTTGACTGACAGCATATCCTCAACACCAGTTTACATTTTAGCATGCAGCAACACACGAAGCACACTATGTCATTCTCATAATTACAGCAGAGAAAATGGCTTTCCCCCCCCAAACAACCAGATGTTTGTCACACCTGGTAGAGATGCTCTAAGATTTTTTTTAATTACATCCACTGCAGCTTTTAAGATCAAAAAGACAACGCTGAATCGTAATGGGATAAGCACTTCTTGGTGTTTTAAAAAAAGAGAACAGTTTGGAGATGATTTGGATCATTTGAACAGGAAGGGAACACATTTGGAGACAGATGGTGATTCAGAGCCTTTAGTTTGTGATTCAAGCCTTCGCCAGAAAACTCATTGTGAGAGTCAGGATGAAGTCAAGAAAGCAAATGACAAAGGGATTATTGCTGATTAGAATGTACGAGGGGAACAAAACACGCTCAGCCAGACAGTTGTGAGGTAATTTTCGTCCTCGCCGGGTTTCTGATGTACACTTTTACTTCAGGCTTCATTATAGACGCTGATACATAATCATGCATGCTAATGGCCTGACTGAGCTGGGTTGGGCCTAACTAGATTGAGGAACAAAGAAAGAGAGAATGAGGGGATGTCTGGCAGTATACAAAGAGACCTTTGACAAAAGCAAATATTGTACACCTTGTATTAAAATGTAGCAGGTAGGATGACAATTTCTCCTGACTGACAAAGCCAAGCCAAGGTAAGGAGGAAGAAAGAGAGAAAAGGAGAAGGAAGGAAGGAAGGAAGGTAAGGAATAATAAATGAAGGAAGAAAGGAAAGTAAGGAGGAAAGAAGGAAGGAACGAAGGAAGTAAAGAGGAAGGCAGTTAGGAAGGGAAGTGAGTAGAAACAAATAAAGGAAAACACAAGAAAGGATGGATTTAATATGAAAAGTAGGACAACATGAAGAAACCAAAGGAAAGGAAAAAGAAAGAAGGTAAGAAGGAAGGTAAGGAGGAAGAAGGAAAGGAAAGGAGAGTAGGACAGAAGACAGAGAAGAAGGAAAGGAAAGGAGAGTAGGACAGAAGAAAGAAAGGAAAGGAGAGTAGGACAGAAGACAGAGAAGAAGGAAAGGAAAGGAGAGTAGGACAGAAGACAGAGAAGAAGGAAAGGAAAGGAGAGTAGGACAGAAGACAGAGAAGAAGGAAAGGAAAGGAGAGTAGGACAGAAGACAGAGAAGAAGGAAAGGAAATGAGAGTAGGACAGAAGACAGAGAAGAAGGAAAGGAGAGTAGGACAGAAGACAGAGAAGGAAAGGAAAGGAGAGTAGGACAGAAGACAGAGAAGAAGGAAAGGAAAGGAGAGTAGGACAGAAGACAGAGAAGAAGGAAAGGAAAGGAGAGTAGGACAGAAGACAGAGAAGGAAAGGAAGGGAGAGTAGGACAGAAGACAGAGAAGGAAAGGAAGAGAAAAGAAAGGAAGAGAGGATAAGGCAAGGATAGAAGGAAGGAAAGTAGGATGGGAAGAAAAAGGTAGAGGAAAGGAAGGAAGGAAGGAAGGAAGGAGGATGAAAAGAAAGAAGGAAGTAAGGAAGGAGGAAGACAGGTAGGAACTGAGGACCTAACTTGAACCCTAACCTCACTGGGGGAGATAACAAATGGTGTCAGTTTGCATCCATAACATGACTGAAGATGCATCAGAGCAATTATGAAAGTGTGGTTATCTCGCTTACCAATAAAAGCATTGATACAAAGAGGACCAGCTGATGCCTGCAGTATGCTAATCGACCAAGGCAAGAAAAGAAATGGTGTAATCAGTATTATAACCTCTAGCGCCTACATATTCAAGATTGATGATTTTGCTGTGCGAGTCATTTGGAAGAGCAATGTGACATGTGTTCTTTAATTGTATTTATTCAGTCACAAACTCTAACTTTCAGACCTTAAACCACAGAAGTGTACCGTGGAAGTGGGTATGCAGATATAGATGCATAATAGGGGTTTTGTAGTTTTGTAGTATGTTGCTTCTTAGATTTGATAAAGATATAAATATCTTAACTAAATGTAACAACTCACAGTCTTCCTCAGTACATGGGACTTTCATGCTCATGTGCAACATGTAACAGTACAAAGACAATATTTCCTACATGAAATGCTCCCACAAAGTGTGCGAATAAGAGGCCAAAGACACATTTTCACTGAGTTGGACAGTCAATTAAATATATACCTTTTAAAAGATTTTCATGTTCATTATAAATGATTTCCAAGAAGAGCCACACAACAACCCGTCTGGTTTTTCTGGCTCTTCTGACGCCAACAATATAATCATTATAATTAATCTTCATTTGTGTCCTTATCTGTCAATACACTGTTTTATGTGCAAACCAAAAATAAATATAACAAATGTCATTACAAAGTGGCAACGTCAGATTATGTGGATAGTTGAAACATATTTAAATGTTATGTATACATGAAACATGGCCTAAGTGAACACATTACATGTTTGAGTAAATTATATAAGGCTGTTAAATGGTTCAAAAGAACTGCATCCAGGAACATTGAGTGGACGGACACACACACACACACACACACACACACACACACACACACACACACACACACACACCACACACACACACACACACACACACACACACACACACACACACACACACACACACACACACACACACACACACACACACACACACACACACACCACACACACACACACCACACACACACACACACACACCACACACACACACACACACACACACACACACACACACACACACACACACACACACACACACACACACACACACACACACCACACACACACACACACACACACACACACACACACACACACACACACACACCTGCTGAGCAGTAAGCCCTTCAAAGAGACGATCTCGGCCTTCAGCTCTCCAACGGTTTGGTTGTCCAGGACACGGTGTGTTGAAGACGAGGTCTAGAGGAAACGCACAAGACACACAAAACAAATGTCACAGACACACAAAACTGTTCAGGTCACATGTAGGGTCAACACACAAAGTCAATACACAACTTTCAACAACTCCTCTGTGCTCAGTCTCAACAACATGAAATCATAAAAAAAGCTTTGTATGAAAAAAAGGACAAAGGGTTCAAGGTAAACAAATATGGTAAATGCAAATGCTAAAAGCCACATGTTTTTGTGTGGTCAGGTCATTCGTCGCCATAACAACGGTGGTGATGACAGAATGGAGGACTAACAACCCCACTACAGCCACTTTTATGGCGTTGCCTGCTCAGAAAGTCCAGTGAGTGTGAATCATGCTGTTTTTACATAATTTTCCATACTATCTAAAAAAAGATTAGGCCAGTGTCCTGTGTTTTGGATAATGACTTTATCTTGAACAATGGACACATTCATGAAGGTAGACCATAGTTTGTTCTTTTTGTCTTTTATCAAAGGCATGTGTTATCACATCGCATGAGATGCTTCAGGGTATAAAGGCAAGTATTTGAATGGCAAATTGCTGCAGAAAATCTGTCTCTGCAGCACCTTTTAGGGTTGGGCATGACCTTACAGAGCTATGACATGACAGGTTTTGAGAAGTAGAAAACATCGAGGCAGCTGTCAATTTGGATGATAAAACAGAACTGGTGCGAAGTTTCGTCACCACAAACAAATGGAAATCGTACTCAAATAGGCCCAGTGTGGAGGTCAAAATAAAGTTTTGTGAGATGATTACCAAGTTACCACATTTTTCTTTTGAAATACTGGACAGTTGCACAGCTTCTTGGCGCTCCAAACTATCCAAATGAAACCTGTAATGGGGCACCATGAGAAGGCATTGCTTGGCTTAAGTCTCAACCCAAAAAAGATTGGGAACCAGTGATGTAGATAATTGCTCCCCATCCGCGATGCGAAAAAGAAATATAACAAACATGTGCGAGAACAGGGGGAATAGACTGATGAGACCAGAGGGAGGAGAGCGAGAAGACATGGGAGAAAGTGGGAGAAAAGAAAAGTAAAAACTGTAATTAAGACTCTCCTGACTCACTGGAGGAAGCTTGTTAGGAAGCCTGGACCCCCTATCGAGGGGAGAGGGATAACTTGGACTCTTTTGCTTGTAATTAAATCTAAGAGAAATTAATTGAATCACATCTGAAAGGGATCAGACTCATTTACAGTGGAAGGAGGGAGGCAGAGGAGGAGAAGTGAAGGGAGACAGAAAAGGAGGCTTTTTTTTTGGCTCTTATCGACTCCTAAACCCCGCTGATAAGCAGCCCTGCTTTAAAGGTGGTGCATTGGAGGCCTGCTGAAGACACTCTTATTACAGCCGTCACCTCATTAGAACCATCTTAATCCCTCGCCTCCCCAAGGCACCCGTATAATAAGGCTGGATTCTGCTTCTCTCTCATTTTACATCGGAAAAAATTAATTGCCGTATGGGCTGAGCTAAAAGACTTCCAAGGCAGAGAATCGACTTAAGAAGTATGCAAATTGCTCCAAATAACTAGAAATTATTTCTATATCACTTCACATTAGAAGAAAAGGCTTTAGAGAAGGATTGTTAAGCGCCAGCTACATAATGTGCATTATCTTCCAAGCAGCACTATACAATATCACACATCAAGCCTTGTCACACAACACTTCCACTGACATATGTCTTATTAAGTCTGAAGAAACCTAATTAAATGTTGGGCCAGGACTGGATTTCAGCTTTGAGATACATTATGAGAGTGTGTACACACATTGTGTAAGAATCTTGTGTTAAGTGCACTAGCTGCTTAGGTGGAGCTGAGTGGAGGGGTATCAGTGACTGGAGAGATAGAAAAAAACACAGCTGACTTAAAAAGCCCCTCCTGAAGAGCTGACACATATCCCATAGACCGCACTGTGTATATGATGTGATGTTTTAACTAAATCATGACCAAACTATTTAACTTCTGCAGTTACTTTTGCAGCTTTCTTGCAAAAGAATACCCGTCATCAAGAAGATATTTACAGGTCGTATGTCTTTGTTACCAATTTTATTTAAAAAATACTCAAAAGAAAATTATTATTTTCAAAGGTTGAATATGTGAATATGTGACTTAAATGTAATCTGTATTATTTCTAAGACTTAAATGTTAAACTTAGCAGTTCTCCTGCTGGTTTCTAGGATTTAAGCATGTAGCTTTGAAAAGGTCTGTCTGCGTATATTTATGACTTTATACACCATTCAATGATTCTACGCAAATGTCGTTATTCATTGACCCACCTGCTCTCATTGACTGAATAAATGAAAGCAACAAAAAATATTAAAGGTTCAGAGTTGAGTGGAAATGTCTCTGCTGCTCTTTCCTCTGGGGTTTGACTTCTATCATACTTCCTGGTGTGCAGGTGCAGGGCTCTGAGAGCTCTGTTTGGCCTAAACAGTGGAGAACATAACTCTCAGCTTGGCACTGCATATCCAAAATATCATCATGCATGAACAAACAACCAACAACCAAATGAACCCACCAGCCACAACCCAAAACAGGACTAAGCCCTGACGAGAGGAGCCACCCAGTATCAGCCACCAGTGTGATGGCTGGTTGTGATTTTGTCGTGTAAATAGTGTACATAGTAAAGATTTGCTCTAACTGGTTTAAAAGCCTTGTAGATAATGACTCGGATGGGTGCCTGGGTGTGAAAAGGGTCGGACTCTTTCTGCTGGTTAAGTAAGTGGTTCAAGAAAAAAAAAGAAAAAAAATGTATCACCAGCAAAGAAAAAAAAAAGACTATCAAGTCTAGCAGCACCCAAGGACAGCAACGCATCTGGCTAAATGAAGATAAATGCCTGTGGACCATTAGCAACAAGATAAGATCTTTAACAAGGCTTGTTTAAGAGTGTCTGAAGGCAAATTAATTCACAGTTACTCTGCCGGCAGACAATGTGTTTTCGTGTAACGCATGTATATTTATGATGGAATTAGTTTCAAAGGAAGTCCCCAGAGGAGTGTTTTTGAGTGGAAACACTGGTACAGTGCAATTGATTTTACTCTATTTATGCACTTTCCCACTGGCAGTTCATCTCCCGCATACAAGGAGGCGGTTTCTAATCTTCTATGTAGTATCCACTAATAAAGAGACCGATCAGTGAGTTGAGACAGCAGGGAAAACACAGTTAACAGGCAGATTTGTAATGATAATGGAGCACAAATAGACTAGACTGTTTAACATCAGAGCTGAATCATCTCATCCTTGGACAAATCTATCCTGAACACCACTGGTAGAACACAGCTGCGTGACTTTGAGGAGTCATGATAACTGAGAGAATTGTGAAAAAGAGAGGAACTGTCTCCGGCTCTAAAATATGGAAATGTGCACCATCAGCGTGTGCTGCGTGTGTGCACATGAGTCATCTGTCTGAGCTCACTTCCATAATGAGGTCCCCAGTTTAGGGACAGTAAACTCACTCCGCAATTGAGCGGTTTCCAAACTACGAGAAATGTTTACTTAGCAGCTGAGGAAACAGAAGTCTCCATATGTTTCGGGTTAAAGGCACATTTCCGCGTTGAGAGGTATAATTGCTAAGCGTGGAGCACTTTGAGCGGCGTGGTGAAGCAAACCCTGAAAGCCGCAAACGGTGAATGATAAGTAGCTCGCCAGCTCCAACATGTGTTTCTCATCAAACATCCCGGACCTGAAAACAATTTCCCAATTTCCCCCGTGGCCTGAGACAACAGAGGGCCTTGTGCCGACTCGCAGGGAAAATTTAAGATCAACACTATAGCTATAAAGCAGAGTTTATGATTTGTTTAATGGGTGTTTTGATTTGAATTATACTTTTTATACACTACTGCTGTCCAACAAGGCACTTATAGCAAATGAAGTAGACACTTTTTAATCCAATCTGTGATTCGGAGATGACAAATGAAAAGAAAAAAGCATTCCACGTCCCTTTATGCTGGAGAGAACTCATTGTTTGAAGTGTTCCTACAGCCTGTCTGATAGGAAACTTTAGATAGATTTTAGATTTTAGACCAGCTGACTTGGGCCTCTTCTGCTTTGTACTCGCTCAGAGGGACTGTGTGGCTTAGATCTTGAAACAGCCAAAAATGAGCTATGAGTCGTCAGTTTTTGATGAACCTCGTCCAGGGAAGAGATTCATATTTTTTTCTTTCCTCATTTGTGCCAAAGCAGATGTGTCCGCATATGTTTTCCTGCGATTTCCAGATGCTACAGTGAAACACCCATGTGCTTAACAAGCTGTGGACATAAAACATTGTCTAAGATTGTCTCTTCCAAGGCACTTTTTTTTAAAGCCCAGAGATCATAAAGCAATTTATGAGCGGTGTTATAAAAAGCAAGCAACATTTCATCTCAGCACATAAGTTTTTAGACCAATCACTCACACCGTTTCACCTAAACACTTACAATTCTGAGTAGATTATGAACACTGTCTATAAAAATCAAGGCGAAGAGGAACGACAATATGGTTAAAGATTATGGTCCAATGATGAGATGCACCATACCTTTTTGCAGCTTGTGTTCTGATGATATACAGTATAATAAGGCTGTCCATCTAAGGTGGTTATGACTCGGGGAAGCACTGGAGGTTTTAGTACACAGAGGCCTCGAGAAACCTTTTCTCTCCTCATCAATCTGCAGATTTCAACCTGCAACTTTACGTTTACGGAGCTCTTCTGCAATTTCAGAGTTACTGCCTGTCTAGCTCTCCTCAAGAACATTAATCATACGTAACAAACCTTGAAGGTGCAGTCCATAACTTTCATGCTCAAACTACAGTTAAGATGCACTTCTTGCCAGTGAGGTGTAAAGTTGTTTCAGCTCATTGTGGTTAGTTTGGCGAAAATATATATATATATTAAATAAGATGGTACTGTACTTGTGGATTCAAACTTGCATCAGACAGACCTTCAAAGGCACCTCTGCTTCAAATGTGCCAATTTCTGCTGTAACTAAATTAAAGTAAAAACAACTACAAATCTGGAGTACGATACTGTGATGTGAGATATAGGTCGATTTTCAGATGTTTAACTGAAATTACTGACATTATAGCAAACTGATTGTGCTGGTAAGAGAAGAGCACAGAGTTGCTGATGAGGTGTTTTAGCTACCTGTGATGAAGTCAGCTCTTGAGAAAGCTCCTGGATTTTCTGCTGCTGCTGGATCAGGAGCTCCTGGACGGAGACCAGAGTCTGCTGCAGCTGGCTCACTGTGAAAGCAAGACGGTAAATTCATCAAACTTAAAAAAAAGAGAGAGATTATGTTGTTTTGGTACCTCAGAAGTTAACATTTTCTTTCAAGCGTCGTCGACAGAACAGATGAGACTCAACTTGTGTCAATGATCAAAGCCGTCCTCTAAGAATTGTAATCAAAGTTAATACCCGGTAACTTAAGTCGCAGCTTTTTGGTCCGAGGCGCTGAGGGTAGAGGGGGGGGGAAGGGGGCACATAGGATGGAGATATTAATCTCTAGTGCCTGAACTTAAATCAAATAACAGTCTCTAACCTTCCATTATCCACCCAGACACTGCCTTCTAATGCATCTTAAATCCTCAAACGATCAACAAAGGAAAAAACAAGGCTCTCATTTGGGAGGAGGCTGCCAGACAAAATGTCCCCCCTAATCCTAATAAATATTGTTCTTTTTCCATTGACTTTGAAGATTGAATTAGTTCAAGTGTTGGTGTTGGACGAGGGTGTATGATTTCAAATAACACCGAGCACAGTTTGTTGCCCCCTGCTTCCAGTCACGCGTGTATTACCAAACAATGCATTAAGTTTCCCCGAGCTGATTATATTACAGAAAACCAATAAACATTCATATAAATCATGGGCGTGTAAAGTGTTAAATCAAGCCTAATAGGATTAACATCAACAGATATTGTGGCGGTCCACTGCTGAGGTTGTCAGGCCAATGGTTAAAAGCCTGAGCTGCAGCCGGCTGGACGGGATGTAAAGAACCTTCCTCTCACATTAACCCGGGACAAAAGACAGAGCTCGGCTGTGTATCTTTTGAAAAACACAACACACACAAGATATTTGATCTTAAAAAAAGCTAATATCTTGTAGTAACACCTGTGTTTAAATGGGTGGAGCAGTATCAATATAGGTGGGGTGCTGAACGTTTGATCTTTTCATGCGCGCAGAATCCTTTGGAACACGTGTTTGAGCAGGATCGTTGGTTGGAGCCAAAAAACTCATTGTGCAAACAGTTTCAGTTTGTTACCGAATTTGTGCTCCAGAGGGTGACCAGCCTTTCTGAAGACGGTAGTAAAACTAAAACACCGCGGCCATCCCTGCTTAAAAAGGTGTTGCTATGACAGGGTGTGCACGCTAAACCAAGAGCAGCCCTATTAGTCTCTGATTCCACCTCACCACAGAACAGCTTATCCAGATGTGTGTGTCAGTCTGCCAGCCTGTAATACTGTGCCTCCTGAATTACCACTGGCACCGCTTTTTCAGCCACTTCAGCCAAACGCTCCAAATCTTTTCATGTCCCTCCACAAAGTTAACTCCTGGACTCTTCGGACACTTGACAAAAATGCATAACTTCTCATCTTCGGTTATCACAGATATGAAGCCAAGAATAATGAAGTCAATGACTTTGGCCAGGCATGAATCAGAAGGAGGCTGTAGCCGGTGTGTGTGTGTGTGTGTGTGTGTGTGTGTGTGTGTGTGTGTGTGTGTGTGTGTGTGTGTGTGTGTGTGTGTGTGTGTGTGTGTGTGTGTGCGTGTGTGTAGAATCGGAGACAAGATGTGTGAGGCTTGCAGCTGCTGCGAGGACGGTGCACATTGTGTATTCAGTAAATTATTCAGTAAATACCTCGATATAATGTACACTACATATGTCCAGGCCTGTCTCTGTCTTTAATGGCCAGCTGGTCACCAATATGGCTCCCACCGACAAAGAGTGCCCAAACAGCCGCACAATTCCATTACAGCCTGGGTGCGCTGAAGTAGTTCCAAGATCCATTCATTAATTGTCTGTGTGAAGTTGTAGGCAAATCATAATGGGAGTCAAGGCCCCCTTACTCTCGAGTTGGGGCTGGCGAGAGAGACTAATGTGGTCCCCATTCAAAAGGATACATCACCTCATTGCGCCCGGCACTAGAGAAATACATGAACTTTAACAAAAGGGGGTTCAAGCAATTGGCAGCAGCGAGGCAGTCGGTCGCTATTACTCAGTGCAGCGAAGAGAGAGGGAGCAATAGGGAGAGGAAGACAAAGGGAAAGCAGAGGGAGAAAACTCTCAGTGTAATTGCAACCCCTCTCCCCAACTGTTAACTACAACAGTCATTAACTACAATAGCAGCTTGGCTACTGCAGTCATAGCAAATTAGTTCCCCACACTGGCTGAAGAAAAAGACTCATGTTTTGTTTTTTCCACTGGAGTCTCACCTACGCGGTGTAAAGCACAGGAGGACTCTCACTGTGAAATCCTGTCTGAACCGACAAACAAAACAGGGTTTGTAAGTTGGCAAATCTCCAGAAAGTGATAAGTACACGAAGAACAGGGAGTGAAATAGACAGAGGAAATGTGTTTGCATAGTTGGGAGAAAATGACCATAAAAGAGCGTATATTTGTTAATCAGATTCAGGGTGGCACACCTTGCACGCGATTGCACACAATTGCTGCCCTACATCTACTTTAACCGGCCAGAAAACAAAAGCCTGGGTGTGACTAGAAACAATGATAACAGCAATATTTTCATCCTCACTATGTCGGTCCGTGACAGGAGCAGCAGAGTCAAAAACGTAATTTGTTTTAATTTAGAGATGAAGGGGGAAAAGTGACAAAGGATGGTTGTATTAGTCTCGCTGCAGCTCAACACCCAGTAAACACATGCATGATGGTAATTCATACCGTTTTTAAACAAAGATACAATCACTTTAGTAATGCAATCTTTAGCCAATAAACTTGTGAGGTTATTGCAAAACACCTTTAGGATTTAACATCTCATAAATCAAAAATACCTACTTTAAGGAATATGCCATCAAAATTCATTCACAAATTCTATATTTTCAGAAATGCCTTAAATGTTTGATCTTATTTCCAATTACCTAGTGCCTTTTAGTTATTTTACTTAAAGCATGCTTTGAACAAACAACGCTGCATATTGTAAGCTTTACAAAAAATGTATATCACTTTTTATCTATGCAGGCATAGGTTTAAGCATGCGTCGACAGTGTTTGTTTAGTTACTCTCACTGACAGTGGGCGACAAAAGTTCTTCAATCCAGCTTTTACGTGTTGTGTGAAGTGTCTTTGAGTATCCTGAACAAATATATTCATATTTAACTTTCAAAACTCTAGTTTCAACTGTCATTATTTCCACCAGACTAGCTATCTCAAATGGGAATTGATAACTTTCCGGTGAAAACACACTCCAGTTCAACAGGACTGCTAACGAGACCAAACTTTCTCAGAGTGCCTCTCTCATTTACGCCTCCCTCGATTTTTAATTATACTGACGAAGAGCAAGAAAGCATCTTTCTCCCGGCTTCACTCTCTCTCCATGTCTGACAGCGAGGTTGAGATTCCTCACCTGTCCAACACGGGAGCCGCACCTGTCACCGTGCACTTAATCACACTAGGGCCAGTGCCGAGCCCAGACGCTACACAGTGGCATGCCACACGCACCTCCTGCACGCAAAAGCACTCACACACACAAACACACACAAACACACACACACACACACACAGAAAATTAAAATGAACTTTCTCGCAACCTACAGGGAAGAGGGTGGATGACGATGATGGTGGTGGAGGTTTGGATGGGGGTGATGTTGGTGCAGGGGGAGACGGATGGAGGGGGGGGGGGGATGAGAGAGGATGGGTGGTGGGGGGGGAAAAGTTGTCATTTCCCAACTCCTCATTAATATTCCGAGGTTAAGAGCTTTTCAGCGAAACGTAATTAATTGAGCCCGAGCCTGACAGTAAACAAGCAATTTCAAATTAAAGCGAAATGACAGCGGCGTCATTTGTTAAAAACGTGCGGGGGCCCCAGATTTTGGCGACAGATAAATGAGGGAAAATGTTAAGGAGGGAGAAAGTGATGAAGATATTAATCTTCACCTGTCTGTGTCAGCGTGCCACTCATTGCCGCAATGTTGCTCTCCATCCTCTGCAGATGCTTCTTGTCCTCTCGGCGGCCCATAATGAGGGGAAGGATGTATTTCTGCAATTAAAAGCATGGCACAATATTATAATTCTCTCTGGTGGGATGGGGCAGAGGATGAGGAAAAGACAGGGCCACCTAGACTTGGCAGCATAGGGTCAAAAGCATTGTTTTATTGGACGAGTGCCTCATTGTCTAAACTGCCTGATTATGTGCATGTTATTTTTTTTGTGGCAGAGTGCCCAAGCAACTGATAAAGACATGTCCACACATCTAGTGTTTAAACCATTAGTTGATTACAAAATTAACCAACCTTTTTGATTAACCATTAGTTCTTCAAGTTACTTATCAAGCATTTATGTCAAATAGTTGCTGGTTCAAGATTTGCTGACACTATTCCATACCATTGTTAATTCAATATCTGCTGGGTTTTTAGACTTTGGTCAGAAAATAAAAACACTTTGAAGATGCATCCTTAAATGTTGTTCACAGGTTTCTATATATAAATAGACAAACACATAAAACAAATATATTTATACTAATCTACAATGAATCTGTTAGTTGAACCACTTCAAACATATTTCGAGCAATATACATGAATAAAACCCAGGAAGGGACAGTGAAAATAAGACAGGCCTACTGGGAAAAACATGGCGATGAACCCTGAAAATAGTCTAACAAAACCCCAACAATGTCATGTTGTTTATCGTCTCGCTGCCGCTAAATAAACAGAACTCCACCAAAATGATATGTTTGTCTGACAGCCAAATGAGGAGGTTTGCTATCCAGTGTGAGTGTCAACCAGATGAGCCGCTGGTGAGTGTCTCACTGAATCCTTTACATATGAGCAGAGATCCAAGCTCACCAAATAACATCAGAGTTGATGTGGTCCTAGAGGGCCGCACTGAACTGCAAACCTTTGTTTAAAAGCTGAATAAAGGCGACTTAATACCTCACAGCCGGTTTGCAGCCCTCAGCTGCCCGAGCCGGGTTTTCCCTCCAACTCAGGTGGCAAGCCGCAACACCAGTGCAAGTAATAAACACTTTTTAGAGAAAAAGATTAAATGAGTGTCAACACGTAGTAATTAATAAGTGGGTTGCTGGGAGTGTGATGTTTACAAGGTGCGCCATAACATAAATAAAGTATGGGCAGAAGCCTGGACATATGGTGCGACTGGCGCTACGCTCCAGTGACATGACAGCAACCTGTGCCGTCCCGCCGGGGTATCCCACCTCACAGGGGACCAGTGGCTGGCAAACCCTTTGGCACGTAGGAAACAGTGGACTGGTACAGTGTGTGTTTTCCTCAGTGGAAGAACACAGAGACAAGGGGACTGGGCATGTGCATCCTTATAAAAAAGCTGCGTAAAATGGATGAAATAATAGGACATAACAGGATCTATAGAGAAGTCAATATGTCCGACAGGGTCAGGTAGGCATATGCAAGTACATGATACGCGCTCCCATTCTCTCTCGTGCACACACAGAGGGAACGGCCTGTCATCCAGGCGGAGAGCTACTGCTAGAGCTCCTGTCCTCCTCTAAAACGAGAGTAATGGCTTCCACATGCCACTCAGACTACTACTAACAACCACTATGGGATTAATGTCACCGGGGACAAGGGGCCTCATGAGCTCATGTTCAAGGGCTGCTAAACCCGATAAAAAACCAGGGTGATTATTTTTAGACGGTAGGACGTCAAAAAAATAGTTGTGTGCTGTGTTAGCAACTATATTTTTTAAAGGGAAAAAAATGTATATGGAGAGGAGGAGGGACGGGGAAGTTAAAAAGAAGGGCTTCAAATGAGATCATACTTTGACGTAAAGCAGAGTGGCTTTAATAACAAGACCAGAGTGATGTTACATACTGCAGAGGCGCCTTCTATTCTAGCACCATCATTCATCATGAACTGATGTACTTGCAAAGCCCACCAATTTTAATGTAATATCAGGGAGGCAGTACTGACAGATCTTAGGATGCAAAGAATAATTTGTAAAACAAATTTTAGAAAGATTACCTGTGAAAAAAGTCAGTGAGGAAACACAAAGAGCAGGAGAAGCAGGGGGTAACTTACTTTGTAAAGCTGATGAAAGCCAAAGGCGATGCCAACCATAATGATGGTGAGGGCACCATAGTCTCTCCATCTGTAGCCTGTGGGACCTGAAGGGGAGGATAAGTTGCTTGAGGTTAATGTGAAGTTGAATTTTAGCTCGAAAGTTTATATCATACAGGCTTACATTAAAGTTTTTGATGAACATTAGATTTCGTTATACTTTTGATGTCCCTCAATGTTACATAATCATTGCATGGTTGTATTCTGTAGATGCTGATTGATGGAAAAAAGTTGTGCTGCATCACATTACTGTGACAATGTAATTTATACTTGCTCTAATTATTGTAATGTTATTTGAAGTAGATTAGACAACAAAAGCACGTTTGGAACATCTCCTAAATAATTCATTTTAGACTCTAAGAAATAAATGGACGCTAATGGATGCCTTGAACTACAGTAACAAATAGATTTATCATCTCTTAAAAAGCACAGCCATCTAGTTTGTTGAATGAAAATGAAATGTTTAGTTTAGACAATTTGTACTTAATGCAAACCAATAATGTGTTCCTTTAAAATAAAGATATCGTAAAAAATACATTCTTAAACACTCAATGAGCACAATGCAGTACAAATGTTGTTCTTTTCATTACAATCAATCATCTATTTATCCATCGAGCTGTTTACATTCAACTCTGACCTATACAGGGTTAGGCCAACAAAGCATCACGCTCTCTATCCTGCTCTTCCAGAAAGGACACCATTGTCTTCCACTTATTTTGGGGTTGGGCCTAATACAGTGTTTGCAAATAAACCTTTAAACCACTAAAATGGACAGGAAGGTAAGTCTTTGTGTGTCTGTGTCTCTGGCTGTGTGTGTGTGTTTAGAAGTTGACTGCCTTGCTGAGTGACAGATAATGTGAAAGTGTGTCATTGTGCAAGCTGTCATCTGGGTAGGCCAACTGTCTGTCAAAGTGGAAATTCCCCACATAAGAGAGGCATTCAACTGAAAATGTCACTAAACAACAAACAGGTCTGCAGGAAATATACTGTGAGCTTTTTCTTTTAGACACTCTGGTTGTGCCCAAATGAATATGAAATTATTAGCGGCTAAGCCACGAAAGTACGCCACTGATATTCTATTACAGGTCTGATTTCACCTAATGGGTTATGTGGTACGTGTTTACTGGCTCGAAGTGAGTAAACCAGATTGATCTTGTGCCTTAACACTTGTGTGATTTGACATGCAAATCAAATGAGAGACCCACTGTCATGTTGGACTATATGGTATTTCTCAAGGTGAATGCCATTTTATTCTTCTTACTCAAGGGCACGTTGCATTGCTGATGCAGCATTCAGGGATGAACCTCTAACCTTTCCTATCGAGAATTTTGAGTCATTCTCCAGCATCCATATGGTAACCACATAAATTTGGGTCTTCATCAACATTATAGCTGCGATAGACTGTCACCTATCCCAGAATACCTTGCTTCTGAAAGGCCTGGGAGTCCTTGGGATAGGTGGTTGACCCTGAACAAGCCTCACTGCATCACACGGTGTCTTCACCTGCTCTTTCCCCCCCGTTAGGACCTTTCATTCTTCCTCTGTCTCTCCTTTTTCCTCTACCACTTCCACTCTGCCATCTTCCTTTTTTTATTTGGTCACTTAAGCTGTGGAACTGTGGTATCCATCCCCCGTTTTTCCAATCTCCTCTCAAATTTATTGGGTTCAGTGGAGGCCTTCCTGTCCTTCTACCGCGTGGAAATAGAGATCAGAGTATCCATTACTTCGACAGAGATGGATGCGGGTCCCCATGCACCGTCCCCATAACAAGGACATCAAAGGGAGGTAGCCCCCTCTTTTCAGCGTGACCCCCCATACAAGACTTCCCGCTCTCACCTCATTATGCAGCTCCCTTATAGCCATTTTGATATAAAACCCCCCACTATGGACGGAGAGCCGCGAGTCTCCCTAACTACATGGCCATCCCATCAACATCACTTTCATTACAAAACATGAGATGCCAGGGGAGTCAAGGACAGTGTGGTAATAAATGAGGGTGGAATACATCTGGAATCATTGTCATATGGGTTAAGCATTACGCGGACTTCATTCTGCATTGGTAAATCAGTGGACAGCACTCATAACCTCCTGAGGTAATAAAGATACAGGTTGCAGTGTGGGGTCTTGCCAGTGTGGACCCCTTTGAAACAGAATGGCAAGAGACTTCATGAGCTTGTGCTGTGCAATGTCATATCCCTGCATCATAATTCATTGTTGTATGGCAACATGTATGTACATATTCTGGTTTTGATACAGATAATCCTCTTAAAGGGGTTTTAAATGAATAGTAACAAGAGGGAAGATGTCTAACAGCAAACCTGATTAAGGTTTTTTAGACTTCTTTCTTCAGATAAGAGTGCAGATAAGTATCAATATTACGTATATGCATGGTATCAAAGGGAAGAAAAGGATGTGTGCACTCACTATGTGGTGCAAGAGCCAGCTGAGTTGCATGGTGTGGATGTGGGGGCCCCACAGGGATCAGAGCCAGGACTTCTTCAGTACTTCCAGAGCGCTGGATGGCTAACTCTACCTCCACATCCGTGAGCCCTGGAATACAGACACACACGTTAGAGACGTTCGGAGGAGGTACAGTCACTGTGTGTTAATGGGAAACACCAAATGGCTCCTTTGCCATCATAATCTATGCTTAAATACTTCCCAAGCTGCCCACAAATCTTTTAAGTACAATTTAGAGAAAGTATGACAAATGTTCATTCAATTTTGCCTAACCTCCTCAAAAATGCATTTTCATTTCATAATTCAGAAATTCCACTGAGAGTTTCCGTTTCAGGGACATCCATCAAAGGCAGATAGCGCGGAAAGGTTCACACAATGAAATTTGAAACTCTGCTAGCCTATTAACTGCCACCAAAGGCAAAGAAAATAAGAGTCTGTCCACTTCTCCATTTATATTTCCCATGTGGAGATTTCATACACCCCAGACAGCGAAAATGCATTATTTTAATTTCTTCATTGTAATGTAAATGTATTACATAATTTTGCAAATGCCAATATAATTTAATCTTCAGATCTTTTTAATGATTTTAGTGATGATTAAATTGCAAAGGGCTCCCTGATGGAGAATCTGAAGGGAGGAGAAAAAAATCTAATATGAACATCTCCTTTTGTGGAAAGAAAGGATTTTATTTCAGGCACCATATGCTGTGGGTCTAATTTTCTAATGAGCAACTTGGTCTTAACAAAAGAAAATAATTACAACTATTGATGAACTACATTAAAAAAAAACATGAACCAATTCATAATAAACAAAGCTGAAGACTAAGAACCAAAATAAATGACAGTAATATTAGACAATTATGAGCATGGTTTACCTTACGATAAAAAACAAGCAAAGTCTGTATCATCATGTGGTCCATTGCTTATTGTGGTCTAACAGAGTATCTCTCTCACTAACATCTCACTTCCTTTGGCCATTTCCCTTGCTTATTGACAGAAAATCCCCTTTGTAAGAGAGCCTTTTACTTGCACTGTTCCCGGAGGATTTAGAGAATTTACACAAGCTCAGAATAAGCTCCCTTCATCCTTTCCAGAGAAATCGAGCAATTGGAAAAGGTTCAGTTGCAGAGGTTCAAGAGATAGTCCCACGTTTTCATTAAAAGTAAGTGCTCAGAGCCAGATCCTAATATCTCTGGTACTGACCTCCAGGGTGGTCTTTACAAGAGAAGCATACAGTTACACCCAGGTGAAGTATTAATATTATAAACTGTGTAAACATGTACAGACGAGCTTTTAACTTCTTCAGGTTTTGAATATTTCTTATACTATGATTCAATTATCCTCCCGTTTTAATGATCTATTGAACCTTTGCCCGTATCAGCGGCGCAAAATCATGGAAAAAAACCTGCGCTAATCTACCACACAGTTTGTGCCAAGAGGAGGTCCCTCCCGTCACCTATTTAAATGCTCCGAGGACTTCAAATGGCCATGAAAATGGTTGAATAATTGAAGGCAAATATTGGCCAGCCTGTAGTCTACAGCCGGTCCTGAGTGCCAGGAAGTGGTGAGCGCCATGTGCTGAGTTTGTGCAGTCAGACTGCACTGTCAAATAAGCAATAATGTGTCCCCGGACTCCTGATTCATCTGACCACAGCAGACTACATGGTGGCAGACTATTGAGTGAGACATGCAAAGATCTCCGTTTCACTGAATGAGAGGAAATAAAAACAAGCTTCTTCCTTTCACCTTGAAATGTAAAGTCTTTTGAAAATAGAAAAAACACATTTATGCTGCCATTGAGCTTAATGTATGTACATCTTAATGGCTGCTCACACCTCTGATGTTGTTTATGCAGCAAATGAAAGGTTTTGGTAGCTTGCATTAAAATAAAATACATGAAAAATACTAAAGCTGTTTACTAGTCAAATTACAGCTTGTTAAGTTGTGTTGCATGCTCTGATCTGTTTATTGTTGAGGTGAAGACAACAGAAAATGAAAGAGCCCTTAGATCCTAAAGAAAAGGGAACACGGTGAAAGTGAGTTTTACATATAAAAGGAAAAGACCAAAAAGGGATTGGGAAATTTATTATGGGTTCCAAAACCTGTGGAATGACCCCTGGACCCCTATTTCAGATCGACCTGTGGTGAGATGAATTTTTTAAGACATAAATTACACCTAATGACGACACCATAAAAAAGAACAATAATGGAAAGCTATTCTGTATTTCATTATACTGTATTATTTGGTGCACCTGATACACGCAGGGCCTGTTTATGAGTCACCGTATTAGCAGATGCTCAGCCAAAGCATTTGCTTTGACCTTGCCATTCTCATTGGGGCATGAAATTACGGTGCTGGCACCTCGATATTACAGCTATAAATACTGTAAACTGCATATCTGGGCTACGTTTTCTATTGTCTTTCAACATAAACCTGATCGGTATTTATTTAAAGGAAAACCCATTGCTCGTCAGGTTATTTACAGCTCTATTTTCACTGCCTCACATTCTCTGGGTATTTTTAAAGGGCAAACAGGCAGCGAGGCTCTTACATTAAATCCATTTCTCCGATTCTGGCACTTCTGGACTTTATGGGTCAACACATAGGCCGGACAGCCAATTATAAAAATTGCTTACTAAAATATTTTCGGTGCTAAAAGGTGAATGACTTCTTCACTGTCGTCCCAAGGCCTGAATTATGAAGTTGCCCTTGAGTGAAAATTACTTACATTTTGAATATCGTATTTAGAAAAAAAAGAAGGCATGGCGGGGGTCATAAATAGATGGAGGTCAATGGGTTATTAAGAAGTAGTCAAGTGCAACTTCTCATGCGATGCTGGAGAAGGAGATTCTACATGTCATTTGGTGAGGTACAACTGCTTGAAAATAGCATGCCCTAAATAATGACCACTCTCATAGAGTATTCATTTATGTATTAAAAAAGGGGACTCTGCTCTCATTTCCCTGCTTTATCGCCTTGTACTGATGACAAAGTAGGCAAGGCCTAGGCTAGGTGGCGCCGTGGAGTAATTTATAACCACATCAATCCCTTTACCTTCTATGCAGGCCTTGGTCATTGTCATTTTTGTCCGAGAGGTGAGTCACATAACCCCACTTACAAGCAGCATCCTATTAATATCTGGGATGATGAACCTTATCCTTACCCTTACCTTCAAACCAGGTATGGTAATAGACCAATAGCCTACCTGTGTTCCCTGTGACCCTCGATCACTGGCCCTCTAGTCAGGGTTAAATCTATTAGCATTATTTATTCAACTCAATAACAATTGGGACGGTATAAAAAAGAAATAATTCAAGCTATCATTTATGTCTCAGTGACAGAGAATGTACTGTGCCTGTAATGCATTTAATATTGTATTTACCTGCATGCAACATTGTCTGTGTACTCGCAGTGCTTTATTTTCCCATACAAACTGCACTTAGTTTGGTAATCTGGGAGAGGCTGAGTGATGTCAGTTTAGGGGCCACGGTCAAAGTGACATGTTGAAGGCTGGAAAATGTGGTTGACTTTGTCCTGGGAATTTGATTTTTTTTGGTAATTATGTGTGTAACTGCTAATTGTCTGGGCTTAATGGCGGTGCCAAAATGGGGCCCAACGCTCTTTAGTTGTTACATCTGTTAATTGTAGAGGACATGGATGGCACAATTCACTAGATGAGACTGGAGCACATTATATTTCACTCAAAATTTACTTGATCTTGGCAAGGAACAAATAAAGCAAAATTGCCTCAAGATGGCTGCAAGACAGTTTAAACGCAACTCATTTCCCGACTCCTCTGCAAGAGAAAGAAAAAGACATCTGGGTTTGAATGAAGATTTATATTACATCTAAGTGACAAAGTTTCAATATTTCAGCCAGTTTATTCAACAAGGACTCGAGAAGGGCAGATAGAAATATTGGACTCCATAATTGCCAATTCATAACCTTAAATTGACAGTTGAAGGAAAACAGAAAATTATATATTTCAATGAATATTGAAATAAACCACACTATTAGGGTCTCTTTGGAAAAAAAGAGATGTAACTAGAGAGGCATCCTTCAGTGCAGATTAGGGCACAAATGCGCAGGAAAATAATATGCAGGAGCGAGATTATTGTGTAAAGATTCTGCAACATGCAATCAAAGTGGGCCCTATTTTCCCCTTCATCAGCTGTCCGGCGTAAGTACTGGCAGCAAGAGGAATCCAATTTAAAATCCACTCTACCGGGAGATGGTATTGTTTCATTTTATGTGTGCTTTGACATTTCTGGCTGTTAATATAGAGTAAAATCCAGAAGTATTTACATAAATATGACATTAAACTGTATTAGAAATTAAGACTGACACATTTGCTGTGGCGAGTGAGGGAGGAGGATGATTGAGTTTCTAGGTCAAAGGGTTGAGAGGACAATACATGCTGGTTACAAAAACAGGGAAACCGTGAGTACTGGCTTGGTGTAAATCAATGCCATAGTCTAATATGGCAGAAATGAGACGGATACAAAAAAGCAACTCAAAAATCATGATGCCTGATGTTCTCTTTGACTATCTTGTGCCAACTTATTTCATTTATTTTAGTCAACATAGAAACTTGATTTTGACACGTACTTTTTTACCTTAAAATTGTTGTTTTTTTAAATTACACTCAGTAAAATAATGATTACTACAGAAATGTCCAAGATGGAGCATGTCACAGCCTTTTTCCTGAAACAGTTTCCTGTAACTTAAGCATTTATAAACACGGCGTTTACAGTGTAATTCATGCTTTGAGACACTTTCCTGTAACAACTCAAGGAAGCTTTAAGTGTTTACAGGATTTCAAGGTTCACTGTTGTATGACTACACCTAAGTCCTATGAAAACGGCAGAGTGCTACTCAAACATACTTTGTGCTCAGGGTTTCATTGCTCTATTGTCTCTCATTCTATACCCCCTCTCTATCCATAAGATCAATGTCTTTATGCAAATCAAGGGTTCTTGTTTAGATCTACAGTGGAAAGGACTTTCCAAAATAAATCTGCATTAAAGCATCATACATATTTCATGGACTTGAAGTGCAGTAAGAGCAAGCCATTTTAGATAGCAGAGCTCCGCGAAGTTTAACACTAAGCAGAAAGTAAGAATCAAATGTGGCTTAGTATGACATCACTTCGTATTGATGAGGCCTTATTACATTTGAGATATCCAACAGTAGATTATGAACATGCCTTGGATGTCAATAATGAGACACAAAGACAAAGAAATTTCAAAAGATATCAAGAGTCATTAGAGCCACATGAGATGTGTGTATAGCAGCAGGCAACCATGGATTTGGTTTCAGGTTACCTTCTCCTGTCATGGAGCTTTTAGGCTCACTTTTCACTGTTTGACCACTCTAATGCTGGAGGCAGTGTCCCCCAGCAGGGCAGAGGTACAGCCCCCAAAGTACAGAAATGTTTTGTGAAGAAATGAAATAAAATAATCTTTTCACAAAGACCTTATCTAAGAGAAAAGCCATACTCTCTATGTACATACTCTGTGTACATATTGTCATTGCTCAGCCATAGACTGACAGTGAGAAACACATGGCACAACACTGCACATTTCCACCGCCGCTTTATATTGAACCGACTTAAATGAGTTCAGAGTAATAAAGCTTTTTGCAGGTTTATTGCACAAACAATGTGTCAGAAATAATCTCAATGAATTGCAAAGAAAACTGAAGAGCCAGCAAACATTTCCACCATCCCTGCTTAGAAAACCTCCCTGTGTCATGCTTCAAATTTACGATAACAGTTAAATTAAGTAAAAGGGTTAAAATGCTGGAAGGCAATATTGATAATTCCATTGAAAATGCGGGAGGGAGTTTGTCAATATTAATTTTCCTGAACCCAAAGGAGCATCCCAACTGGTGTGTCATTTATTCACGGGGCCTGAATCATGCACTCTGAAGCTAAATCGACCCCTGTTAGACCCCCAGGGCAAAGAGCTACGGCCACAACCTTTGACCCTTATAGACTAATCTTACCAACAAAAAGACATGGTGTGTGCATCCCCTGACTAACCGCATTTTTTAAACACATACATATGGATTACAATGTTAATCCTATATTCTGACAGATATATATTGTATTTTTCCAGGCTTCCTGCATTGCTTTCAACATAAATCAAGAACAAATCAAATGTCTCACCTTTTTTCGTTAAGAAGGCTTTTCTAGTGGCCAAGGGACTCTGACGTACTTTTGGGTTCTGGAGAAATTTTACAGCGGTGGTAATCTGTGAAGAGAGACAAATGTGATTACATTCCTCACAGTGAGATAATGTGAGATGAAGGAGATATGGTCTGCAGGATAGGGATGCTTTCAACGGGACAAACAACAGTCTAGACCTTCTTTAAGAAAAAGGTTCGTTATAAATCAAGACAAAAACTTAAATGGATATAATTTGATAGTTGCTTCTAAGCCCCCACACCCAGCAGAGAGTAGAAAGACCACCTGACCACTTTCCAGCTAAATGTGGGGAATGACCAAATCAGCAGTTATAAAATTAGCGCATCAAGAGTGCTGGTCAAATGGAGTATGGAGCTTAATTTGCTATTACCCTCTTAAAGACAAACTTCCATTCTTAAGTGCGCAGTGGAAGAAAATCTATACTTAATGCAGAGGTGATCATTTGTATCTAATAACTTGAGAATCCTAGGCTGAAAACTTCTGTAATTCTTCCAGTTAAAATCCTGCCATGATCAAATCACCCAGCCTGAATGTTGTAATGACTTGAAACGTTAATGCACTAGAACGTTAAATAGCATCAGAACATCAGTAGTTTTAAGTGCACTGCGTTCATCGATTCTATTATGTTTTCCTTCGAGATGCACCTTAATTTTCCACCCCAGTATGCATTTCCAAGAATTGGAGCGAGAAAAAAAATCTTCCTCAAATGGCATTAAAACATAAATTTGAAGTGGGCGCCGTGAAGTGGCGCCTCCTAAAATAGATAAATATGTAAGAACACAGAGAAAGGGGAAACACACTGGAGGGGAGGTTTAGATGACTTATTATCGCACCTGTGGTCCCCGTGATTCAATTGTAAAAGTCATCCCTCTAATAGGTTGAAAGGTTTTGATTACTCTTCTTTTCTCTTAGTGTTGAAAGATACAAAGTGATTGAGCGCCCTGCCAGTGGTAATTCGTTTTGGGTAATGCATTGCATATACTATGAACCGGTTTCAATCCAAAAGAATTGCAGTTTAAACTTGTCCAAAGGGTAGGTGTGGCAGAGAGGCTGCATAAAGAGCTGGATTTCTGTGACAAACACACAGTACAGTAGAATATCATGGCACAGGCAACTTTAGGGAACAGATAAAAACATATTTAACTTGTCTTTAGAGCACTATGAATACACTCATTGAGAAATAAAATGAAATGTAGCCGTTTTTGAGTCAAAAACGTTTTACTTCAATTAGGTACAAACATGAAAATAATGATGCACAATCCATACATTTACTCTTGAATTATACTTTTTGTAGCTCTACTTTAAGATAAACACAGTAATGAAACTTCAATGTCAATTTTATCAAAACATGCCAGATTCCTCCCACGAGATCCTGGCACAATTTATTTAGACACTAATCTACCATTTCACTGTGACACCACCGTGACCTTGGTGTACATATGGGTTACGCAAGGGGTATGGAATTTCCTGCATCTCTATATGCTGAGGGCTTATTAAAGTCACTCACCCGGAACCTTCATTGTGACAAGCAGATTAAACCATTTGCATGGTGAACCCCCAACTGATGTTCTGGGCCAAAAGATACAGTCAAAACACAGAGAAAATATCCCTTTGATAACGAGACAAAATCATCCTGCTCTTGGCAAAGCTCTTACTGCTCAAGTTAAGTGAGCCAATGAGAGTACTTGTGGTAGAGGCAGAAACCAGAGATAATAAACACACTGAAATCTAATATTCTAATATTTATTCCAGTAAATAACGGAGGCCCTGTGAGAGGTAATGACCTAATAGAGGAAGAATATGCTGAGTGAGCAAACCTTGTTTACGTACTCCTAAAATTTCAATAGCAAAATATTGACAGGGAAATGGTGTCAATGTTAATAGGCATAAGTATGACATCTTAGTAAGGACCGCAGCTTGCTCAGCGGCAAACTAATGAGGCAAATGTCCATTTGGTTAAATCTGTAGTGGAAGGATCTTCAGGGAGAGGAAAAGTGCACTTCTTAGCAGATGACATAGATGCTTTGCACAAGTTCCACCCAGACATCTCAATCAATTATAACCACATTGCACAGATTTCAGTCTTGTCTTGTTATTGACTTATGGATCATCCCAGTTATAGTGTTGGGTAGCACACAACTGGGCTTTTAGAGGGTTAAGATGGATGGAAATGTATGCACATTTGGGTTGGAAGTGTAAATTACCAAAATAAAATGTAGGTGAATTGCCTTCATTTTTGGAAAACTATAGGAAAATATTTTGGTGAAATCAATGTTGGCTCTTTTGTAAAGCTTCTTGTAAAGCTTTGACTGCTAATGCACCAAAGTGCTCCATATTAACAGCAATAATCTTTACAAACCAGATAACCAATAAAGTGTCAGGTAAAGCCGAAAAAGAGGCGAAAACTCAATCATAGGAAGAGATAACATTAACCAACACACTTAAAGAGAGTGAAGTTGATGAACAGACAAGATTACAGCAATGTTATTGAGTTTGAATTGGACAAGACTTTGCGCTGCACTTGTCTGAAAATTACAATTGTGATACGTTGAATTGTGAGAAATGAGAATAAAAACCAATTATGTTCGAACCACATGGTTGGACGCCTGAGGGAATCCATGTAACCAGTTGTATATTTTTGCTCTAACTAGTGAGAGCACTTAACTATTATATACAGTGAGGCCTGCAGATATACTGCAGGTGCGCATTATGGGGGTTTCAGAAGTACTTGGAAAATTCATAATTTATATACTGAAACAGCAACAAGCTGTATGCTGTATGATTGTTTTCGGCTGGTTTCAGTATTGGAAGTTACAGTTAGTTTCAGTATTTGAAATTAACTATAGAAAATCATTTTAAAAAACAACAAATGTACAGATGCAACAGAAGAAATGGTTTAAAACTTTTGAAAAGGCTATAGGACCAGAAAGCTTGTGGTTGAAACTGTGGCTTTCCTTCCTAAGAGGTTCGCTGCATGTTGTTTGACATTTTCAATTACATATACTTCACGTTTTTAAATCTCAGGGCTTATCTAAACTTCTATCCAAGTGTCATTGTATAATGAAACAAAACACTGCGTTGAGGCGATTTAAAAGTAGAAAGTAGTCACAGATTTTCTTTTACAGAAAAATTAATTCCCATGCACTTAAAAACAACTTAATCTATTCCACAAAAAAGGTATATGTAACAGAGATTCAGAGGTCATGATGGAACTAGATGTTTGGTGGGGGGGTTCAATGGAGGGGCTAAGAGGAAATCATTAGCAAGTATAGGATTCAGTCTCAGTGTGAATCAATTCATTCCAAATTGCCCCGGCCTGTACATTTGTGGAGAAGTGCCCCTGATATAATAACAGACTGATAGACATGAACAAAAATTGTGTTAGGCTGGTCTCAAGTTTCCCCCCCAAACACACGTTTGGAGGACCAAAAGCGAGAGAAAGTGAGAGACGGGGAAAAATGAAGCTCTATATTAATTTGGTGCTTTCATGGATGATCTGCTATCAGTGGCAGCTGTCTTAAATGACTTAACCCAATACCTTTCTGATACCAGAGCTCTACCAGGAAGGAATGAAGCTTTAATGCAATTATTGTGTTTCCTTTAATCGCCTGACTGCTTGATGTGGCCAGCAGTGCTTTTTAATCTTTTGAAAGAGCAGCTTTAAATGCCCTTCTAATTGTGACATCTTTCCCGCCTTGATGTGACCTTTAGTGGAGGAAGTAGGGCCTCATGGGAGCAGCAATAGGGAATTATTGACCCTGAGAGACATCAGGAAGTGAGGTGCAGACCCGACCACATCCACTCTCGCTCAGACCCTGCAGGAGCTTCAACGGCTCTGCTGGAGCTGAACCATTCTGACAATGACTGTACAAAAGGAACTTGTCGGGTCTTTGTGTCTTCTTCTCTTTTGGGCAGTGCTTTTCAGAGAAGCTACACAGTGAGAAAAAAAACATTACTGAAACTCAATATCAGTTAAATCAGATAAAAGAGTACGGGTGAAAAATGTCCCTTAAACGAACTAGTAAAAATCTACCTTTACTTTAGTTATAAAAAGGACCAGTGAGTGGAGAATAAATAGAGTGGTTTTGGTTTTGTGTGTCTTATTCTCTCCGCTGTGGGTAATCAATTTTTATCGAATGGTATGAAATTTGAAAGATCAGAGTCAACATAAATGAAAAAGGGTCATGGAAAACTTCATTGACATTTTCTTTGCAAAGGTTTAAAAATAACATACAGCGCTGTATCAGTGTCAGTGTTAGAGCCATGGGCAAGGCTACAAACATGACATCAAAAGCACATTATGCAAGTTTTGTAAAGGGGGGGTGTTGGTGGACGGAAATCGAGCTTTTTTCAAGTCCACTGCATGTACAGACTAAACTTTCCATTCAGCAGCATTTCCCTATCAGACCTCTGTGATCACAAACACGGAAAAGTTGAGTCGGTTCAGCGGTAAGAAACACTTGGGGCTAAAGTACATTTGATCCAGCGAGGACACCATCAAATCGTAAAAACTGTGCAGAGTACAAATAAAAGCAGATAATACAGCCTTCGAGGTCACAGTAAGGCTGTCAAGGAAAACAATTGTTTTCCTAGTAGGTAGTTTGACTAGGGTGTAAAATTATATTTTAAAACTGTAAACTGTATTTTAAGATTCATTATGTCGGGTATGAAAGATGTTACCATGTGATTACTTCACTTCCTGTTCTTTGTACATTTAAGTTATGATATGTCTAAAAACTGGGGTCAACATGTGTGTTTTGTCTTCAAAGGTTTGAGTTTAAAAAAGAATAATTCAGCCTATGTCAAGGTCTAAATGAACAAGATTGAAACAATGACAATGTACTGCAGTATTGAGAAACAGTAGTTGGTGCTCACAGTCTTTTTGAAATCAGATGAATCAAAGTGAAGCATTTATTATATTCTTGTGAGACCTAAACTTGCATAGAAACAAGTGGCATCCAGCCAATTCAAAACTATCTAGCGGGGTCTGACGTTTCTTAATATGTAACTGTCAGTCGTGCTGCCTGGGGTTGCCCTTGCTAAACT